TGAGGAGGAGGTGGCCTGTCTACTGCATACTAACCAATGCAGCATCTGTCACGCGCCAGGAGTGGTGGCAATAACCATACCAACGAACAGGAAATCGAGAAAAGTATTACCAACAAGAATAAACTGAAATGTTTTGACTGAATTATGGAATAGGATGTTGACATTCATACTTTAAAGAGTAGTCCGCAAAGATTACACTCATCTAAAAGTGCTTACCTCACCCTAACTGTCAAAAGGGAAAGGGTACTTTCCCCATCGTAAGATAATTTTAAGTTCAAAATATATTTTGTCGTAAGCTAATTTTCCATGCTAGAAACCTACAATAGGATTCAGAGCAGAGAAACAGGGCCAGACGCTTTCAGCTAGGAGGCAGCTTTTATTTGCTCAGGCACTGGCTCAACGCACTCATATCCAAAGGCTGAGCCTGAGCACAGCAGGGCCTACCCTGTATATACTTTTATCCCACTTTGCCCCCCTTGCAGGGCTTAGGTCTGTGACACTGAGGCCAAAGGACCACATCAGAATGAGCATGCCCACATGATTAAGCCATTAGTCTTCTCTTCTTCTAGGATGCCCTTGCCACAAACCTACATTCCAAACACCTCAGAAATATTCAATGTCACAAGCCTATACTTACACTGTTTTTGAGTAAAGCGTGTTAAAGGGAAGTACTTCAGCACAGTGTCAAGGGTGGACAGCATCCTGCCCTAGTATCAACCAACGAACTGGAACAGAACCATTAAGTATGATACCAATGTAAATGTACAGTTAGTCAAGCGTGTGGCGACAAAGATGAATTCCCATATATTTCCAAGTATTTAGAGGAAAATAGCAATGACATATATAACTTTTCTTCCAATGGTTCAAATTATTGTTTTTAATGAATACACACTGGGGCTAAAGAGATGGCCAAGTGGCTAAGTGTGCTGGCTCTTCTGGCAGAGGACCCAGGTTCAATTCCCAGCACCTCCACTGAGGCTCACAACCATTTGCAACTACAGTTGCAGGCCATGTGATGCCCTCTTCAGGTATCTGATGGTACTGCATGCAAACAGCGCGTAGGCACACATGCAGGTTCAGCATTCATACACATGAGATGAGTGGCAGAGGACATTCTTGCATGAGTGAACCTGGCTCTCCAGAGACACAATGGGAGATGAATGTACAGCCTTTTGCCTGTCTCCCATGCAGTAGCTAAGCACATACTAACAAACAGGACACAGTCCAACATTGGAATCCAGGTGCTCTTCTCCAAAGAAACCAGTAATTTATATATCAGTACATTAAAACTTAGAAAAAATCACTATAACAAGCATCTTTTACACAATATGGCAGAATAAACACAGTTTAACTCAGGGATTCTAAGCCTGTGGGTTGTGACCCCTTTGGAGGTCACACATATGAAGGTATCCTGCATATCAGACATTTATATTAAAATTCATAATGGTAGCAAAATTACAGTTATGGAGTACCAACAAAAGAACTTTATGGCTGGGGTCAGCAAAACATGAGGCACTGTATTAGAGGGCCGCAGCATCGGGAAGGCCGGGAACCACTGAGTGCTGGGTGCTGGTCCTATACAGGGAGGCCACATCGCCTGGACCGATGCAGGCTCCAGTCTTCTGAAAACTGTTAACCCACAGGCCAACCCTCTGAGCATCTGCACTTCCTGGCTCAGTTCTACTTCCTAGTTAGATCCTCACGTGAAAGGAGGATGCAGTTTCTAGTAACAGTTACAGTGCCTTGAGAATCAAGGCTTCCCTCTTTCCCAGGCCCGCTCTTCCACACCCGTAGGCAGAGCTGAACACACAGTGCCTTCATCTTCCGTGCTCTTCCTCTGATTACGAGACAGGAGCACAGCAAGTGGGCATGCATACGACCAGTGATGACAAGTAGTTAGGAACAACCTCCAGTTCACAAAAAAACTGGTCGTCCACACAGGCTGTAGATTATTCCCAGAAGAATCCCACAAGTCTCCAAGTAACACAGCAGAGTAAAGCCGTGGCATTTTCAGGAACAACCATTCTGAAACTCATGTTAGAATGCTGCAGCTTAAGTTATGCTAAAACATGGGTAAATGTTCCCATCCCACCATTCCCAAGGTAAACAATTAGAGCAGACAAGAATGCGCTGACAGGTTTTGTTCCTTAAAGTATCTGTGAGGACAATGAATCAGAAGGATGCACTCTCGACAGAACAGTCAGTGTGCATCAGGCAGAGCCATCCACATAGCGGGTGGAGGGGGCGGGGCAGACTCCAGAGAGAGACAAGGAGGTGATGCTCTCCAGCAAGTACATTTTGAGATATAATTTTAGTGTTGAGAAATATAAAAAAAATAAAGCTAAGAAAAATTACCGTGGTAGTTTGACTATAAATGGGCCCTAGAGGCTCATGTATTCGAATGCTTAGTCACCAGGGAGTGGAACTATCTGAAAGGATTAGAAAGATTAGGAGGGGTGGCCCTACTGGAGTAGGTTTTAAGGTTTCAAAACCCCATGGCAGACCCTGCCGTCTGCCTGACTTTGGTCTCCCCCGTCTCCAGCCCTCTTTGTTTGCAGATCAGGTGTAGATCTCTTTGTTTGTAGACCAGCACCGTTCCTGACCACTGCCTTGCTCTCGGCCGTAGCAACAGACCATGCCTCTGAAACCATAAGCAATCCCCTAAGTAAATGTTTTCTTTGGTCATGGTGTCTCTTCACAGCAACAGACTAAAACAGTTACTTTTTCCAGAAGACACTTTTCCTCACCAACCATCTTAAGGAAAAAATGTTTCACACATGAATGCAATCCTAACAAACACTAGTGAAGCTCCACGCTGCTCACTTTCTCAGTATCATGAGTTGTCTGAAGCCTGAAGATGCCAGATCATTTCTACTGCCTCATTTTTAATGTCCGCCCTTTCCCTTATCTCTTAAATAACACAGTTTGATTTTTATAAAATCTCTTCAAATAGTAGACTTTTCATTAATTTAAAGGAACTGAAGAAAAAGAAAGAGAGAAATTAGGAAAAAAATAAAGGAAGGAAGGAAGGAAGGAAGGAAGGAAGGGAGGAAGGAAGGAAGGAAGGAAGGAAGGAAGGAAGGGAGGAAGGAAGGAAGGAAGGAAGGAAGACACAGGGCCCCACCCCCACCCCACTTCACTATCACTCTGGGTGTATCCAACATTTCCAGTGAAAACACAGGAAAATCAACAAAGGGTGAGTTCCCCAATAGTAATACTTTTTCTAACCACAATGCACACTTATTTTATAGTTCCCACTAACTGAATTATGATCACACAGTCACCTAAACAGCATTCGATCCAGGGACAGAACCAGGTTCCCCACCCAGTACAGCATTCCTCCCATCAAGCCTTAGGTGAAGCACAGACAAGGCGGTAGAGACAAACTGCCTCTACTCAGCTGCCCCGAATGTTTGTGGGTATTTATTTTTCTTCACTGGAGGATAATGTGACTTTTTGACAAAAACAAAAGTGTGGCAGGGGTGAGCGTTGTTCTAATGGCTGGAGTTTGACACCAGCAGCTTCCATGTATGCTCTCAGGACTCTGAGAACAGCCCAGCGTGAGCTGCTGCAAAACCGCTGCACAGGAGCATAAGCTGCTGATGGTGGGAGTCAGCCAAGGCCACATTCCAGCTTCCTACCTCCCTGATGTGACTCCACATTAAACAGGAGATACTTTTAATTTAATTTTGTTTTGTTTGTACGCTTGAGAGTGAGCCCAAGGTCTTTTGTGTGCTCAGCAAGCACCCAACCATTGAACTAGACCCCAACCAAGAGTTAATCTAAAACTCTGACCTCTAACAGCCTCCACACACTCCACATGCCTGCACCCACAGCAGCTAGACGGGCCTCAATTTACTGGCTATATGTAAAATGCTCTTTGTATGGTTGTATGTAAAATACTTATTTTTCCCCGTGTTACTCTGTATGTAACACATTTAAGACTTCAATCTTTGAGACTTTCGTTAAGCAGGTCTCAACTTCTAGTTCTTGTCCACACAACAGGTTCCCAGTCTCAACTAGAGCCAGTGACATGCTCTCTCTGAAAATGAGCACCAGAGTTTAACAGAGTGCTGCTGGGTAATGGAAGAGGAGGGAACGACTCAGGTCATTCAGATATGTCTCTGACACTGAAATAATTTTGTTTGTTTGAAACAGGGTCTCACTATGTAGCCCGAGCTCACAATGTAGGTGAAGGTGGCCTAGAATTTACAGAGATCTGTCTGCCTCTGCCTCATGAGTGGTGGGATGAAGGGTGAACCCCACCATAACTGGCTAACATCCCTCTTTACAAGCTGCTGTCGCTGTTATACTGTATGACAGTTTAAACAGAAAAACTCTTCCCACCCAGACAGGTTTTCTATTGAAATTTCAGAGATTCTTACAAAAACAAGGGGAGAAAAGGTGGCGAACAGTTAGTTGGCTATAAAATCACATGGGTTTCAGTAGAATTCAACAACTCTCTGAAGATAAGGAAAATTCTGTGTACGTTTCTAAAGAATGTCTTCCAAATTCTCAAGGTGACACACAGCACATAAGTAACATTGATCTAAGGCCCGCAACTATTTCTCAGTGATACAGACATGATCCTTACGCACAAATAAAACTATTCCCAACTTCTTTCCACAATCCGCTGTCATTCTCACCCGAGCACCACCTATCCAAAAGGGTGGGGTGGAGAGGAACAGTCCAGAACTGGAATCTTGAAAGAGAAACAATTCCGTACCAGAATGCAGCTTGTCCTAGTCCAAACATGTAAGTGTATGGACTCCTTGAGCTGCTGAGACTTTCTGAGTTCAACAACGACAAAAGCCTTGACAAATGTCACAAAACAAGCTTCCGTCAGAAGACTTACCTTCCCACCCCACTGTCATGCCAGACAGCACGGGTGTCTCAACTGTGTGTGCAGTTGCCATTTATTAGCAGTGTGTGACATGCACGGCTCTGCCCGGTGCACTGGAGTGTGCAAAACAGCTCTAGCGTGAGGGGGAGCAACTCACCTTCATGAGATGCTGATTTATCCATTTTGTAAATGTTTTCTTCTGAACTTTATCCCGCTCATCTGAAAAGAAGGAAAAAGCATAAGGTTGGTATGACCCCGGCACAGGAAGCTTCATGTCGTGTAGTTAAACAAAGATGGGATGTTTGGAGGATATCCTCCTGTATGTTATTAAAACTTCACAACTTTGAGCCACCTGTAAGGAAGAACTATGGGCTTTTAATCAGACCCATCTCTTCCCAGTGTTTCATCTGCTGCCCAGCTGCTGCACCACCCACCCACCACAGAGCCATCCCAAGTTGTCTCACACCAGGTTAACTGGAGACACTCAAAGCAATCCCACTCAAATCAGGACTAGGACTAGATTGCCGACTCTCTCCCTATCTGTTCAACATAGTACTTGGAGTTCTAGCTAGAGCACTAAGACAACTGAAGACGATCAAGGGGATGCAAACTGGAAAAAAGTCCAAGTATTGTTATTTGCAGATGTTATGATATTATTGTGTCATGTTATGATGTCAACTCTACCAATTCATGAACACCATCTTCTGATATCTTTTTTGATTTCTTTCTTCAAAGAAAAGGAGTTTTACCATACAGGTCTTTCACACTTTCTTGGTTAGAGTTATACCAAAATATTTTATATTATTTGAAGCTAGTGTGAAAGGTGCCGTTTCCCTGATTTCTTTATCAGTGCATTTGTCATCTGTATATAACAGAGTTCCTGGGTTGTTTTGTTTTTGTTGTGTTTTGTTTCCTGTGTGTGTGTTAATCTTGTATCCAGCTACTTTGCTGAAAGTATTTATCAGCTGTAGGACTTCCCCAATGAAATTTTGAGTCACTTATGTATACTATTATACATAATATAATAACCTGCAAATAACCATTATAACAAAAGCACTCTACAGATTCAATGCAATCCCCATCAAAATTCCAACAAAATCTTTACAAACCTTGAAAGAACAATTTTTAACTTCATATGGAAAAAAAAAACAACAAAAACCCAGGATAGTTAAAACAATCCTGAACAATTAAAAAAAAAAAAGCAAACAAACAAAAAGCTGTTAGAGGTCCCACCATTCCTAATTTCAAGCTGTACTACAGACCTATAATAATAAGAAATGGGTAATATTGGCAAAAAAACAGACAATGATCAATGGAGTCAAACTGAAGAGCCAGATATAAGTCCACACAGATGGACACCTGATTTTTTATAAAGAAGCCAGAAATGCACACCGGGAAGAAAACGCTATCTTCAACAAATGGTGCAGGTCAGGGTGGATGTCAGCATGTAAACAAGGCAAATAGATCCACACTTATTCCCCTGCACCAACTCAGGTCTAAGTGGATCAAAGCCCTCAACATAACGCCAGACACTCTGAAGCTGACTGTAGAGAAAGTGGGGAATAACCTTGAATGCATGGGCTCTGGAAACAATTTCCTGAACAGAACACCGACAGTGCAGGTACTAACACCGACAATTGATTAATGGGACCGCAGGGAAGAGAAAAGCTTCTGGAAGGCAAAGAAGCACCACTGGAGACTAAGAAAGAGCCAGAGCCCTGGGAACCATGATTCACAATGAAAGCACAGGAGGAAGCAAAGACCGAAGCTCACTGGGTGAGGTGCAACCTAGGCTTGATGCCGCCATCTTCTGATGATAACCCAAGCCTCCTCCTAAGTCACAGGAACCTGGGTGAGGGCCACCAGCAGCCAAGGAGAGCCTCAGGCAGAAGTCCCAGCAGCAGGACAACAATCCAAGATCCTCAGCTTTCTTCCACCCCGCAGCTGGGCAAGGACTTCAGCCTGGGAAGACCCGGCGCTTTTACCACCATCCGCACACGTTATTTCAAAGGGGAGTTATTTTACAAGGGAGTGCGCCAGATTATACCATGTAATTTTCCAATTACAAGTCTCATGGTGATTTTTCCTTGTTTTAGTCAGGAATGCTTAACCCTGAGATTTATATTTAGGGCACTGTTGCTATGACATCAACGGGACTTCCATCGTTCCTGTGTATTAGCCAGTTGTTGGCTTTATACATTACCCAGTCACTATTCCAAGTCAAGTTTTCTAGCATTCCGACAGTCAAAATCATCTTATTTACAATCCACTTTAAATGAAAACATATATTACATTCTCCTTATGAAATACAAAGTAGCTGAAAATATACAAAAACACTGGGTGCAAACAATAATAGAATTTAAGAAAATAGTCACATAAAGAGCAGTAACTATGGCTCACACTGTTTACAGTTTCCAGTAAAGCTCAAAGTTAAATGTGCACACAGCAAACGTCAGTGCTACATAGAGACTTCTCCAGTGCACAAGCACAGGCAGCAAAGTTCTCTCGGGCGGTGAGCTAGATTCCCCAGCACCCACAGCCTGTCAGCTCTCGCCATGCAAGCCAAAGCAGGTAGCACAGCTGTCCTTTCCAGGTTCTGAGATAGGCACGAGGCGCTCTGGGGTGACCGTACTAACCCATACAGCACATGCGTGCCACCAGCTGTGCAGCCCAGTCCTGGTGGCTCCTCACAAGCTGCCCCATCATTCTGCGTCCTGGACTCTCTTGTACGCAGAGGTGATGTGTCCCTATGCTGCTAACTTTCTCCACAGAGAGGAAAGCCCTGACTAGACACTCCTACTTGCAGTGGAAACTAGTCAACGCCCCCTTTTAAACAAACACTGGCGAGCCAGAGCCCTGAGGAACTGCTACTGAAATCGAGCTAACCTGCTTCTATCACAAACGGTCTTAAAGACGACCCTCAGTCTTCTTCCTTCTCCCTCCCCGCCCCTTCTCTCTAATTTTTGAGAGGTGACAATGAGGCAACCAAGAGGATACTAGATTTTACTGCAGAATCAACTCGGGCAGGGTTCCCTTAGAGTAAAAAGCAACAGCCAGCTGACTCAGCTCGCGCTGGCTACACACACGTGACTCGGGAAGCTCCCCTTCATGGCCTGACATACTCCTTGGAGAGAACTGTGACCATCAGGTGTGTCCGTATGTTACTCCGCAGGTGTGTTCACTCACATTGCAAAGCAAGGGTCTGGGCTGGGTGGTACCGTATACTTTGGAGTTGTACAAACCAGGGTCTGTGTACACCCAGTGACGCCTGTGATTATCAGTCAGAGGCCAACCTACCTGATTATAACAGAAGGGAAAGAAAGACAGGGGAGGGAAGGGGAGGCAGGAAAGGAAAGAAGGGGAGGAGGGAGGGTAGAGAGGGAAGAAGAGAGGGAGGGAAGGATCTGAGTAAGCCTGGGGAAAAGGAGGGGAAAGGCAAAACTTCCACAGCGTACAGCCCAAAGAAGATCTAAAGTCTGACTCTAAAATATACTTTTTTCTTGGTCAAACAATAAGCCCTAACCTATAAGTCAGGAAAAAAAAAGATGAAACTCTCAATTCATCAGAACCTCACTTCCAATGTCAAGAAACAAGAACCTAAGTTCTAAACAAGGGAAGACCATCAGCAGCCCCCAGACTTGTTTGAAACATCAAATTGTCTTTCCCAAACAGAACGTATATGAACAGTAACTCCAAAATACATTAAAAAAATAATAATTACTACACAGTTATTTCAACAATAGGGAGCAGCGAATGTGGTCATGAAAAAAAAACACCCCAACATTGCTAGAGAACAGCTGCTAAAACAAACAAACAAACAAACAAACCAATCAAACTTTATGCTGGCATAAATGTATGAGAATAACAGCCACAAATGCAAATAAATGGGTAGTCCTTACCTACAATGATGTAGGTAGGTAAATTACAGCACTCAACAGGATAATTTGGCAGTGTATATCACATATTCTTTCCGAATCAGTAATTCTGCTTGAAGAACTGGTACCAGAACACTTGCGAATACAGCGTGACTAGTTCACAAGGACGTTCACTGACTAGTTCACAAGGACGTTTACTGTGGGCAAATATTTGAAACAGTGTAAACATTAATCAATAGGAGGCCAGAGAGACTAAAGTTACAGTTCACTCGTGCTGTGAAACTTCAGTTTTGAAAATATGCATATATGGACATGAAAAAAGATTTCCAAAATAGGGGAACAAAATGAAAACTAATATACATGGGTCTATAAACTCCATGTAACATTTCATCAGAAGAGAGCGGAAGGTGCAAGAAGAGGACTTTGGCATGTTTTCACTCACATTTCATTCCTAGTATCTCTAGATTCAGGGAACCCTTCACAAGAAAGATACTTGCACACCACCATCAACAAGCCCTGGGAGGAGTATGTCAAGCCCCTTTATTCACTTATGTACTGAGCAGTCATGACATAGGGACACTTGTTGAACACAGAGACATAGGGAAAAGACCACGACCCGGCCACTGTGCCCCGCTCAGGTTTAAAGGCCGAGCGAGTGGAAGGACAGGCGGTCGGGCTTGTGCCTGTGACGGCTGAGGCTGAGGCTGAGGCTGAGGAGGGGAATGGAGAGGAAGGACTGCACGGGGTGCAAACAGCAGGGGTGGGAATGGTGACATGGTCTCCAGAGAAAGGCTGCCCAGGCAGAGCTGCAGAGGGCCTCTGACAACGGAATCTCTAACTCGGAACGTTCGCAGACATTGCCTTGCTTGGAGCTCCTTGTTTGAAGTTTAGTTACCACACACCAAAATCCAGTACAGTTTCACAGGCCTTTGCAAGGAATGCAGAAACAGGATGGGAGAATGTGCTGAGTAAGCACAGTGAATAGAGGCGTGAATCTCTCTCTGCAGATGCTTTTGTGTTTGCCCTCTCCCTAACTGATGAGCAGAGCGCATGAGTGACTCCTGTCAGCATACTTCGTGCTGCTCGGTAATGGAGGCCGGAACAGAGGTTTAGGTTCTGCTCTGGAGAGGAATTTACTGGCTGATGCCTGTTCTTATGATTGATCGGGAATTTAATACAAAAAGCTCTTTAATCTACCTTCTCCTACCTGAGCAGACACTAAACAAATGACCACAAGGAGACCTCTAATCATTGTCAGATTGCTCCATTTAACTATAACACAAAATCTCTCTGCTGCCTCAGCCCATGTTAAGGACAGAGCATGTTTACAACTCTTTCATCTGT